CTCCCCTTCCTTTTTGATTGTAAGCCGCCCTGAGTCCCCTCAGGGAAAAGGGCGGCCTATAAATAAATAAAACAACAAAACAACAACAAACAAGGACTACTGCATCACACAATTTTCACTCAAGATAACTATTGAGAAGGGATGTACTTGTAAACATCTAGAGGATACCATTTTGCCTATTCCTGATAAAAAGAACATGTATTGTTTCCCCAGTCTTAACTTTTTAATTCAGGTTCCATATAGGTGTTATTAAGTGGTTATAATCTTTCTTCTTTATTGCAATGGGGAGATATCAAGCACTGCTGTTTTTTAAAGAGCAGGATTTTTATTGATGTTGGGTTAGAAGGCTTACATATAGCTTACATATAGCTTCTTGATATCTGTTGCATGTCCACAAATGTACTTTACAAATTTATTACAATATTCTCTCGGAATGAAATAAATGGTAAGTTTGTTTAAAGGATGAAAATTACTTACACACAAGAAAGACTGGATTTGGCTTAACAATAAAATCTGGAAAGTATAACCATTTAATGATATTAGAGTTGAAGTTGGCATTTGGATTTCTCCATGGGTAATCTGTAATGACAGAGGCAAGAATGCTTACAACAAGCCATTAAGAATTCTTATTTAATTACTTCTCAGCAGGTATTAACACACAGTAATTATTGAAGTAAAAAATTGGAAGAACAGTTTGAGGCAAAAAAAGGACACTTACCCTTACAAGGTGCAGGTGGGATGCCAATACATATGAAGTACTGGAATGTAATAATGCATGACAGAAAACAGCAGTACTTTGGCCATATTTCTGCAATAGCTTTTCTTCTCCGCCGATACAAAACAGCAATTAAAGCAAAGCCATGGATCATTGCATAGAAATCCATCCGTTGACCAATTACATTTACAGACAAGAGGAAACAACTCTGTGATAACAAGGCAAAGGTACAAAATGTTTATATAATCTGGAATGGTCCATGATAAATAGAATATTAGCTTCAACTTTGGAAACCTCATGAGACCTTATTTATCAGTTTGAAAGAAATCATTGTTTTTTATTTTGCTTATAGGCCATCTTATTAATACTGACTACCTTATCTATAATGACTGGGTAAAACTTCTATTTGAAAAGTAAAGAGATATTGGAAACAATGTTAAAATATTTGGCACAAATATCTTGATACCTTATAAACACTTTTGCAAAATGAAGATTACAATATCCTAAACCTCATCCAACAACCTCAAATATGATTTTCTATGTTCCCCTTCAGTTATGAAATTCTCTCCCTAGGAAGAACACTAGCATCCACTGAAACATTTCAAATTGTCTTTTTTTGTGGGTGAGAGTATGTTTCATTATACATTTAATCCAGGAGTGGGTTGCTGCCGGTTTTACTACTGATTCGCTTAGTGTGCATTTTGCACGCATGCACGAGTGAAGCTAGTGCATGCCCCAGACGCACGCTGCGTGCATATGCACTGTTCAATGTAAATTGTTCTTTGCACATACGAGGTTCATTTACAGTGAACTGCACACACATGGTCACTACAAAACAACTTGGTGGTGATATCAGCGGCAGCAAGGGAACCAGTTTGGGGCCTGATAATCCTGGGTCGCTGCTGGTTCTGCAACCCAGGCAAAAATACCATTACTGCTTCGACTGAACCAGGCCAAACCAGGAGTAACCCACTTGAGTGCCTGAGTTGCTAGTCCCAATTATGGTCACTAATTAAGGATTATCAGTACTGCTTTAACCATACTGATGTAAATTTACCTCCAAACCAAATTTGTAGAAGAAGTAGTTTACAAAATATTTAAGGCAATTGACTATGCCATCATCCAAATGTAATCTGGTAATATCATGAAAAATAGTTTTGGTTTCTGGGGCAGTGAGATTATTATGACATCGGTAGTATTCTTGGTGTCGGTAAACAGTAACTTCAAAGGCCAGAATTGCCAACATCAGCAAATTATTCTGTAAGAGAAGAAAACTGTGTAAATACTTCAGATCCAAGGATAGTCTTGATTCTACTATTTACCGCAAAACTCCTGCACTATTTCCACTCTCTTAATGTGATTTTTGACATAATAATAGTTAAACAATTTTCCTTTGTGTTTATATTAATTATAAAGATGATGGGTTTAAAATGTATAAAATTGTTACAGCTAGGTCTTTGTTTATTAACATTTATTAACATTTCCACAACCTTAGGACTTTTCTATACAAAACTGAAAAGCTGCAACTGAGATTTGTTTTCCTGTGCTACTAGTTGAGCACTGCAGGAACAAAATGCTAATTGATAACACATTTATTCTAAAAATACCCAATCCCTTTTGTGGTTATATATGGATTATTTTACAGCATATGAATATCTGTAAGACACCCAAAACCACAAATAGGGGAGTGGATCACAGTCAGACAGACAAATCAACTTTGTTCTGATAGGTTATGAGGCAGAAGCTGGAAGCTGTGCAGCTCTTAGGGTGACTTAATGTTATGCTAAAGTTTACAGAATGAGGTAGTGAGATTTTCATGAAATAAACCATGATTGCCACTGTAGCTCTGGCTTAGTTTTGATACAGAAATAACAAATATAACAAAAAACGTAGAACCAGTTTGCAGCTCTTGTTTTTTTAAAACCCTGTAATAACCTTGCATATATTATATTATCTTATTAGTAATTGGAAAGACACATAAATTATTCACATAAACTAATTCTAAAAAATAGTGTATTACAATTTAAATTAAATTACTGTTTATTAGGTATACCCTTTATTAATAAAAAATGAAATTACAGTTAATTCTAAGTGTATTATTTCTGTAAACAAGCTGTGCAAATACATTTTAAAAACAGTTATTTTGCTATAATAATTGAACATTAAGGGAAGATGGAAATGCTTAAAATGTCTCACCACTTATACATTTCATCAACCAAGACTATCAGAGCTATAATGAACTACACTTCATTACTGTAATTTCCTGAATGCAAGAACTAAACATGCTGAATAGAGAACAGATTATAATTACCCTCAAGTACACAAGCAATGGATAGGACTTTCTTAATCCAACCCACTCAGTTGGATCAATGGGTTTTTTGTAGAGAAGTGATTCATTCAGGTTTTCCTGATCTTCAGTAGTATTAGGCTAAAATAACAAAAACAACACTAGTTCTGATTTGTTCAGGCAGTATGTTTAATAATGAAGCTAGAATTGCATCTATAGCTAAATAATTCAACAGTTTCTCATTAACTTTATAAATTTATAAATGCTTTATAAATTGTCTTCGGGGAGCTATTATTAAGACTAAAGATAAAGAAAAACCTTGCAATGAAAAAAATATAATAATGTATAAGCTTTTATCCCATACAAAGTAACCCAAACCCCCCATCCAGCCTAAAGAGACAATTTGACAAGCTAAGGACAGAATGAAGACCTAATCAAATTAAGAAGGCAAAATTATGGGAGAAAACTGAAGACAGGGATACATTCCACACTTACAGACTTATTTTAAGGTGTTTTCTGAAAGAGATCAAGCAGCAGAGAATTCCTCCTTATTCTGGTGCAAGGCAGATCCAAAAAGAAAAAAAGGATCCCTTTTTAGAAAAAAAATACCTACCCACTATTCACTTATTTTTTTTAAAAACGATAAAATAACTAATGTCTCAACAGGGTTGGAAAAACAAAAGATGTATACTACCAGAATATTTTCCTGATTTTGGGGAAAACTGCTTGGATAATTTCTGAGTCATTTTGTCATGTCTCTAATTCATAAGTTCCTCTAGTTAAAAAGTATTTAGATAAAGCATGAATAATTAAGTAAAAAAATTAAATGAAATATACCATTGGACAACTGATAGAAAATGATGTAACATTAATAGATTCAAGCTGGTACAACATTTTACAGATAATAATCACACAGGTCCAAACTGTGCAGACACCAGATGCCAATGGACGGAACTGAGAATATGGTAAAGCAAAAGCCCAGGCAATCACAAACACATAGTTAATGAGAGAAACCTAGAAGAACAAAACAGAAAAGATAACATAGTTTAAATGACAAATTGGAGAATTCTTTACTATATTACTGCATGTATTCATTTATTACTGAAAAAAAAGAAGAAAACATGGAAACATTCATTTCCTTGGTTTCATTTGGAATTAAACTCAACCTATTAGATACCAAAAACATTGGTAATGGTTTACTCCAAGGTTTTCTGTTCCGGCGGGAACAGAGATTCAATCTGATTGGTCGAAGGGTCTGACAGCTCCCTATAAAAGGGCTGCCGTCAGACTGAACCTTCGCTGGATTGTACATAGTTGACTTGTGCTAATAAAGAACTGTTAGTTACTCTGAAGCCTGAGTGTGCCTTCATTCACCCGNACAACCATTTGTCTGAAATGTTATAGGGATTCCTGCTTGAGCAGGAATTTGAACTGGAAGACCTCCAAGGTCCCTTAGTTTCTCTTATTCTGTTATCCTGTGTGCATTGGGTGTGCACTGGGCCACAATCTTGATTTTTTTTTTTTATCACAGCTTGTAGATACGTATCCCTTCTGTGGAATCTATTTTTAAAAATTATTTTAATATGTTAGTATCTTCATGTTTCCTTTGCTACTTTATATATCCCAACTTACTATTTACTTGATAAACCAATGACTTAACATCCAGCAGAAAATAAAATAAAACTGAATGTATCAATTGCAAGTTCTCTTTTTTAAAAAAAAATTATCTTCAATTAAAGCAAGGGGAATATCATAAACATACACTGAAGCCCAAATACCTGAACTCCAAACACTTAGAATGTAGTTGATTTAAATATTAAAACCTAACTAATTTGCATATACAAATGTATGTACATGCAGTATATTGGTACCAGCATGTTTTCAGAGTAAACCTTTATGTCTAATTAATTTAAAGAGGCTGAACATTTACTGAATTCTGTTCAGCTTTAAAATGAACCAATATTTTTAGCTTTTAAAAGTAGACTATTAAGATTGCACTGCATTAACAAACAAATTGTAGTACTGGGAAGTTGTGTTATTTGATTAGCATTATGTTCTCTGAGTATCATGAATAGCCTTATTGTTTTTATTTTAAAGATTGAATGTACAACTAAACACACACTATACTTTTAGGTAAAAAAAGAAATAATTAAAATACCCACCTATTTATTATAAGATAAACACGACCATTGACTTTGGCATGGCTTTGGTAACAGATGAAAGTGTGAGAATGCATAAGGTGGCAGCAGAAAAATTAGAGAAAGAGAAAAGAAGAATACTGTTAAACAGGATTAAAGATAGATATTTTTCTCAGGAAGCACACAAGGAAAAAAAGCTGCAATGGTGTAGTATGCATAGTGAAAAAACATCACAGCATTCCCTGCAGAAAGAAGAACATGTACACTTCTATTTGCCGATGACTTTGTATACACTACCAGGAACGAGAAGAAGGAAAGTAGATGAATTGTTCCATTTTGTGCCCTCATTTTTCTGGTCCCATTATTAAATGTGGAAGTTAGTAAATAAAATGAAATAATATACGTACATACACAATTATACATATACTAGAGCCAGTATGGTGTGATGGTTAAAGTGTTGGGTTAGAAACCAGGAAACTGTGAGTTCTAGTCCTACTTTAGGCATGGAAGCCAGCTGGGTGACTTTAGGCCAGTAATCTATCAGCCCAAATCACCTCAGAGGTTTGGTGTTATGGAGAAATAGGAGGATAAAGGAGTATTAGGCATGGTTGCCACCTTAAGTTGCCCAAGATATACAAAAAATGTGATAAATATCTACATTTATATATCTATATCTATATAGCATTTATATCTGTTTAACAATAGTTATAGATCAGTGGTGGGTTACTGTGGGTCCGGTCCGGTCCGGCCGTACCGGTAGTGGCTGGGAGCAGCTGAGAGCATACTGGTATGGTGGCTCGTTTGGCCCACCTGCCTGCCTGCGCTCTATAGGCTGTTTTTATGCCAAAAGGCACACTTTGCATGCACGCACAGAGTGTGATGCCTGCATGCACCCCAACAAGCAGCTGTGTTGCAGGGACAGTGGATTGCACATGTGTGAACAGCACACGTCACGCACGTGCACAGCGCACATCAGGCTCATGCATGGACAGACCGCTATCAGGGTACCTGTAGCAATGGTAAGAGCAACCCACCACTGTTATAGATATTCCCCACAGAGAGAGAATTCAATTATACTTTCAGCTATTTGTAACTAAAGATGAAAAGCTTATCAGAAGAGGCAGCTTCCTCAATTCAGTTCAACAAATACAGTTGCAAAACAGAGTGATTACTCATTTGAAAAGTTAAGCACTCAAAGCTATTTTCTTGGGTGACCAGTTTCAATTTTTTCACATTTGAATGTTTAAAATTTCAAATAACTTCCTACACCATTTGTGAAGAACACACACCATACCACCTGTCTCTCCCCAACTACACTGACACCAAAATTATGTATTCATCATGATGTTGTGCTGAGAGGTATATCCTTTTTTTCTTGCATTACCATGTCATTTCCAAGTACTTTAAAGGGTAGAGTTTATATTATGATGCATTGACACTTAAAATCTACTTGTAGACACCTGTATAAGAGACTGGAGATTCAAATAATTTAATTGATCCATATTTGCTAATTTTTCATATACACTTTTGTTTGTGCTTTTAATTCCCAAAACATAGTGGTCTCTTATAAATTACATCATTTTGAGTATGGAAAAGCATATAGACTCATCAATCCTTTCTTAAGTTTTTCTTAATTCTTTGGGGTAGAAATTTGAACAATATATTATTCTGCCTTTATTTCACTTCTATGAAAGCAGCTATTTTTTAATTTTCTAAGTTGGCTTTTGTCCTTAAAGGGCATTCCTACATAGATTCAGATAAGAATACAGCAGTGACTCCTTTTTTTACACAGTATCATTATCCCTGATAGTTTAGTTTCACAAAGGTTTCCAAATTTGAGTCTTATTTTGAGTTGACATTTTCTTCTCTCTGTAGGAGAACCATAATAAGCATCAACACAATATATTTTGACTGTAGGGAAGAAGCTGTATTTTTTTTGCCTTTTGCATTTGCATTTTTAATTTTATTTCTGTAAAACCTGTTAAGATAAAATATTTAACTAAAATAATAAAATGTTAATTCATTGACAGTTTTCAAAAATAGATTGAACAACCATTTGACCAGGATGATATAAGATAGCTAAAAGATCTGCCCCCCCCAACTCTTTGATTCAATGTTAAAAGAATGTTAATGATCAATATATACAACTGAGTTCCTACAGTTCCTTCTCAAATTATAAGTAATGCAGCAACACTGAATATATTTGGTAGGGAATAAATCTCATTAAATTCTGTCTGGTGCTGGGAAAACCACATATAAAGAATTCAGACCAAAATAGCATTTTTGTGGTTGCAGTGAAGGTTTATAGATCATGAGATTTCTAAGTGGTATTTATTATTCAGTCATAGAGAACAGGCCATCTTTCTCTAATTATACTCTTTTTCTTCAAAATCCAGAGTTACTTGATCATAAGATGATAGAGATGACTTAACCAATTCAAACTTCGGGGGCAATAAAATGAAGGGAAATTTTCTGTTTTGTTTACCTGTAAATGGCATTGTCTTGTTTTCTGACTATGGCTTTTAAATCTGTGAGTTGGAGGAATCGGTCATGGAAGTAATGCAAGTGCAATATGCATACCAATAGAAAGGAGGTTGGGATAAAAATGCGAGTGAATAATTCTGCTGTAGAATACTGTTCTAAGCCAAGATCCTTTAGCCTGAAACATAAAATAATTCAAGTTACAGCTATGTTTCATAACTCATAAATAACCTTCACAATTTTTTAGACTTGTCAGAAATCACAAGGAAAAGTTAAAACATTTTTATTTTTACAAACATTAAGCAGTTTTGAAAATTATAAAAAAACAACAAAATATTAATAGCTATCCCGATGGGACCCAGAGATGGATCCAGAAAAGACTTGCAAGAAATGTTTCTAAAAATAATTGTGAATTTTCTTTTTCTTTATCAATTACTTAACCCGAAAATCTAAATTTAGCTGTATTCCATGGCAGAACATTACCCAATATTGACCTGGTACAGCACCAAGATTTTACCTTGGTGCTTACAATGTGAAAAAAAAATGAATTCAGAATTATAAAACAAAGTAAAATGTAAGAAACAGAAACAAATGAACATAACTGAAATAATAGACCTAAAAATATTAGATTCATAAAATATTCATAAAATAAAAATAAAAAGATGGTTCTATATTGTTTCAAACTCATAAGCTTGTGCATTCTGCTAATCTAATATGTCAAGTTGAATGATACGTTCACTGCAGATGCAACCTCAGCAGAACTCTTTGAATCCAGCAACACTGTAAAACTTTGGAATTAGTTCTGGTCTTTTAGTTTAAAAGACTGATACATTTCCTGTTTCACCTTTTTCTTTTGTGACTATATCAAAATTTACTTACAAGTGAACAAAGGCTGGCTGAAAAACATTCTTTCACTAAACAGCTTTGTTTTTTAAAAAAATCCTGTGATCTTTGGTCCCAAAACAGAAATTAGTGGAAAAATCTTTGTGTTTTTCAAAAAACTATGGTGACAATTTTTTTTCACCCAACAGAATGAGATATATGGAAGAATGGTGAACTGCAGAAGTAAAAGCATGAAATCTAATCAAAGTTATACAGATAGGCATCAACTTACAGACACAATTGGGCCTGCATTTTCATTGCTAAGTGAGTCATCATATGATAAGACCTTAATTTACAACCAGTTTTACCATGGTGTTGAGTGAATCAGGCAATTTTTAAGTGAATCATCTGGTCATTAAGTGAATATGGCTTCCCCCATTGACTTTGTTTATCAGAAGATGGCTGAGAAAGCAGCAAATTGACTAAAAGACACTGCAACCATCATGAATGTAAGCCAGGTGTCAAGAGCCCAAATTATGGCCATATGACTGTGGGGCATGGATGTTTGTGTGTGATGGTCATAACTTTAAGGATAGTCACTTTTTTTAGTACTGTTATAACTTGGAATCATCATTAAACAAAGGGACATAAACCAATGATTACTAATACTGCAATAGATTATTTTTAATGTGTGATTTCAGCAACATCTGAAGAGAAAGTTAAGGGCGAGAATGTTAAAAGCAGTATCACATTATTATAGCACAAATCTTTCTGATTTTAAATTTATACTGTGACATCAAATTTAAGGGTAGATCTTGTGGCATAAGTGTATAATGATGCTTTTATTATTTTGATGAAAGCATAAAGAGCATGCCATATGTTTGAACTAACAAAAATACTTGCTAAGTCAGAAGCTTTGACCCCTGAAAATTATGCATATGGTGCACAAACCATGCGCAATTAATTTATTTAATTTAGCTTGGAATGCTTTCTAGAATTAAAACAACTTCTTCAACGATTGGCCTCCCTAAGGTCTCATATTTGATTTCTGAAGGGATTGAGTTAAAATTGAACATACATGAAAAAAATAAAAGTTTTGTTTAAAAGTTGAATAGATAGGACAATGTATGCGGACTGATTTTCAAAAGAGAAGCTGAATATTTGTTTCTTCTAAAGAAAGGTAATTCCTAAGTCTGGTCACTTATAAAACATCAGGTATCTAGAGTAATATTAATGTTTCATAATTCATCATCCAAATAAACTGCATTTTAAAAATGGAATAATAAATAATACTTACTGATCATCATTCATGTTTGTCATGTTTTTCCACAAGTTAGGGAATGCTTTAAACTGATATGTGTAAATGAAAACAAGCACTAACATAGTGTAAACCACAACTGACATCCAAAAATATTTCAGAATTCGTCGCCACCATTCATAGTGAACCTAGCAAATAAGAAATTAAGTCTCTCATAAAGTTCACCATTTGCAGTCATTTTTCATAATTCAGTGACCACCACTTCAGAAATTCTTCTAACATTGTTTGATACATTTAAATGCCAAGCTGCATTAAGCTGAAATTAATTGTTATTAGTAGTCTTGTTCTCTTTCTGTTCTCCCCTTTTCTCACTCTGTCAAAAAACTTATCTTGATTTTGATTTGACTCACACTTGTTTTATTTTTTTATAGTTTTATATATGATTACAAGATTGATTAATTTTGTTGGTCAAGTCATTTTTAATTTAATGACTCCTTATGCTTTGTAAAAAAAACATACTTAATAAAAAATAAAAAAGAGAAAGAAACAGCATGGCAATATTCTTAAAAAACTAGGATTTTTATTACTTACCTGATAAAGAACTACACAAAACAAGAAGAGCATCATATAGATGATTTTGTACATGACAATTTTTCCTTCAAAGCTGACAAAGAAGAACATTCCACCGCAGACATAAATCCAGTATTTGACAAACATCGCCATCACCATGTTCCCTAGAACTTTCATTACATCATCTTCTTCCTCCTCTTCCTCTTCTTCCACCTCCTCCTCCTCGTCCTCTTCCTTCTTCTCCTCTAATTCCCCTCCGTCTTCTTCCTCTTTCAAAGAATCCTCTTTGGAGGATTCTTCTTCTTTTTGGGATTCATCATCTGTAAATGTAAAATGTAACATTAGAATAATGTCATTAATTATATTATTTTACAGTGTTAAAATTATTGATAAAAAGCTCATCTGCGCTGGTCACATTGGCTGATACACAATGCTGTCTTATGGTAAAATATAGACACATCACATTAGTCAATAATGTAGTACATTTAATTAAAAAAATAAAAATCAATATAAAAATGCATGAATATACAATTAAGTAGGAAAAGATGAAATAAGGAAAAGGGACAGTCATAGATTCTTCATATCACATCTTTAATGCCACCTTTTTTAATGACAAGTTAATAAAAAACTTATATTGATTGAAAAAAATCAGAAGCAGAGTAAAACTAATCCTTAATTTAGTTAATTCTTAATTTTTCCTTATTAGATTTATAAGTACTTATATACATTAGTTGAATCCTAAGAGAAGTATCTCCTAGCTCATTGTGTACTTCTCTATTGACATCAATATCACGAAACCATCTTCTAAATTGACTTGAAATGTGTATTCACCTTTTTCTTCACTCTCTTCCTCTCCAATTTTGACCTCTGACAAAATAGTTTCATTTAATTGCAAAGACTTCCGCTCAGTGAGGTGTTGTCTCAACAGCAGCCAAAAAGTAAGTCCAAAAAGTATCTGTCAGCAGAAATTGAAACCAAAGAGGAGACACACTATTGAATAACTTATTGAATTTCCATGATTCATAGTATGGTGATAGCATACTTAAGATAAACTGAATGATATTGCCAAACTTCTCCCATATATCAGCAATCAATCTTGACCCCGAATTAAGTCATGTTGTAGAAACATTATTAATGTCCTCAAGGAGTATCCCTGGGTTTTCATCATAGCTATACATGAATATATATCACAGTAAATTACGTAACTTGTTGCTTTCCAAATATATATTGGATTACAAATGTTGAAAATATGTTAGCCGGTGCTAATGTACCTGGAAGACCAAAAGTTGGGAAATGTTGTAATACACACTTGAGAGGCCTAAATGATCATTAGAACTGAAGAGGCTTATCTTACTCCTATTGTGCTTTGGCTTGCAGCCTAGTTTATAAATTAATAAATTATAAATTAAGCTAATTATAAATTTAGAGATTGGCTAAATGCTCATCTTAATACATGTGACTTTTTTGGCTTTCCTTCCTCAATTTTATTTATGTATTATTTATTAAATTTATTTGCCGCATTTTGTTTTGAAGCAAACCTAGGCAGCTTGCAGCATTACAAGCATTAAAATCATAAATGTTAAATATTTCTAAAACAATAAAAATGGAAATGACAATCAAAAATAGAAATATTGTTAAAAGATGGGGTGGAATGGAGCAGAATGCAGAGGGGGAGGTGGGATTGCCTATTAATTCCTAAATCACCTCTAGTGTGATTCTTCCCATTGGGGCCCCAAGCCATCTGACAGAGCCAAGTCTTTAGGGCTTTCATGGAAGTCAGAAGGGTGGGAGTAAGATCTTCCAAAGCCACAGCAGAGAGTGCCCTTCTCCTGTACCCCACCAGTCACAGTTCCTTGATTGATGGGATTTACAATTTGTCTCCTTGGCTGGGGTGGGTAGGGTGGGCCAATCCCAGTGCTGAGATGGTTCCTCGAGTAACCTGAACCCATGCCATGCTACACCATGCTTTAAAGGTAATAAGCAATACCTTGAATTGCACATGGAAGCAAACCAACAGCCAGTGCAGCTATTGAATCAGTGGTGTAGAATGGGCTACCCAAAGGATCCCAAGGATTGCCCACACTGCTGTACTCTGCATCAGTTGAAACTTCCAAATGCAGTTCCAGGGTAGCCCTATGTAGAACGCACACTGCAGCAGTCCAGATCACAGGACCTGAAATGGGTGAGCACAGGGACTCCCGATCCAAGAAAGGCCACAACTGGCACACAATATGCAAAAAAACTGTGCAAAGGCTCTCCTAGCCACAACTGCCACCTGCTCTTTGAGAACCTCCAGGTCATAGATAGGGTCTATCTGGAGTAGTGCAATCCCATCCAGAACTAAGTTAGTTGAAGTTTCAGATCTTTTTTAAAAAAATTATTTTATTTTTAAACAAACATAGAACAAATAGACATAAACACATACAATATATAAAAATCATCCTCCAGTTACATACAGTATGTTGATTGGTTACAAAGCTTTGTGCTTTTTCACAATAGTCCCCACTTGCAATTTACCCCAATTCAGATATCATAAATCCAATTATATATATATATATACACACATACACATACATATAAACAATTATTAACATTCATAACTCTTATTACACCCTCTTATATAAAATATTCTAAATTTAAAGTAAATTTATATTATGGCATTTCATTACATCCTCCTAAAATCTTCCAATAACATTACATCTTTATACCATATTCTATATAAAAATTGTTTACATTTAATAACAAGGCTTTTAAATATGTATGTATGTATGTATGTATGTATGTATGTATGTATGTATGTTATATTTATGCTGATAAATAAATAAAGGGAGACTAGTCTCCCTTTATTTATTTATCAGCA